GGAGGTACAGGCCTACAACACCGCGGGGTGCAGCAGGACTCCAAATGGAAAAGAAGGAATCCAGGAATCCAGTTCTTTCTAAGTCCAGGTGAGAAGGTTCGCCATCAAAATCACAGGAGGAATCCAACCTCAGGAACAATCCAGCAAAAAAAAAACCTGACCAATCTCAAAGCGACACGTTAGGGACAATAATATGGTGGCTCTCAGTCCGGACCAGTGTGGCACTTCAACTGAAGGAAGAGTGAAATGAACTTAAACCAGTAGCCGTTAGAGCTAAACTAGTAGCCGTTAGCCGTTAGAGCCAACGAGCTAGCTCCAACGGTGCTCGGCAGAAAAAGCGAAGTCGTCCCTCTTCCCTTTTCACCTCACACCTCTGGCCCAGAAGTCGGATGATAAACAGCCACTATCTGGGAAAGCGTTTGTTTAGAGTTGGATAACCGGTTTAACACAGGAGACTCTCACGCTGCCCAGCTTAACCATTTCCTTCTCATGGCGGATCTCTCTCGCTTACACACACAATGCTGCGGATACGGGGAAGAAAGGCAGGGCTTGCAGCAGCAGTCTGAATTCTGATTGGTTTAAACACACTGGAAACTAAATTTTCTATTGGCTAGGTAGACCACATAGCTTCCCTAACCTCCGTTTCTTAAAGAGGCATCCCCATTNTAAACCCAATTGAGAACATTTGGGGATGGATGGCAAGGGAAGTTTACAAAAATGGACATCAGTTCCAGACAGTGGATGCCCTTTGTGAAGCTCCACACTTGGAGCAACGTTCCCACTAGCCTCCTGGAAACACTGGCATCAAGCATGCCTAAACGATTGTTTGAAGTCATCAACAAGAATGGTGGAGCTACTCATTACTGAGTCTTTTTTTCTGACACTTTGATTTCTGTTTTGGGGTGTTTTTGGGTTTTTTTGAGCTATGGTCTTAAACTTTTGATCAGCTGAAAAAGTCATGTTTGAGTGTAAATGCAGTTTTCAATTAATTCCCTGCTCAAAAGTTTTTGTCTCTTACGCTGATTTCTTCTTTTAACATTGTGAAGCTCTACTTAGAACCTTCTTAAGATCCATCTAATAGTGCAAAATGTAAATTATTGCAATTTTTTTTAACTGGTCTTAAGATTTTGATCAGGAGTGTACAAAGAATTGTTATATTTTACACATTTTACAATACCTTGCTGCATTCTTTAAATGGTAATACTTGCAGTTTCCATCCACTGAAACTGAAAGCACATCTGGGGTACAAGCTTGACACTTGAAGGGATCCTTCCTTAACATTTTATCCAACTCATATATTATGGCTTCCCACTCAAAAATCTTTTCAGGAAGCTGTCAGCCGAGATCTTACCTGTCTGATTTAAAATGAGAGATAAAAAAACAGAAAATAGGACATAGGTGTCCAAATACCAGGCATCAAGAAAAGGTGTCTTTCAAATTTTAGGTGTTTCTCTGGCACAAAACATCTCACTCAATTAATTTTGATGTTACCAGGACTTCGTATGATCTGAATGCTGAATGAATGAGGTGGTACCTCAGCCATTTGATTCAAGTGTGTTTAACCAGTTACACCAAAATGTTGAAGAGCATAACCGTTCAAGAATGGAGTCAGACAGCTCTTCTGGGATATGTACGTCAAAGTACTCACACAGCCAAAGTAGACTGTTATTTAAATTTTGATAATATAGTTTTTTATATTTTGGTTTTGAGTCATTCAAAAAATTGTTATTGAGGATGACCACAGTGACTGCCTGTCCTGGTTTGATCCTCAAACACTCTGATGGACAATCACAAATTCTACCTGGGATCTCCATAGGTACGAATCGTGCTAAAGAGGTTGACATGTTGGATTCATGAATGTAAAGAAAACAAAACTTACGCTTTCTCTTCTTATTGGCCACCCTGACTTAAGGAGATGGCATGGTCAGCAGGTGACATGAATGCAGATGTGGCTAATCTATGGGGGGAGACAGATGATGGAGTGGGAAGAGAGGCAGCTGGAGAGGTGCTTCTGGGTCATTTCTTCTTCTGAAAAGACAGAGGATGGGATAACAGGAGGAGAAACAGGAACAAGATCAAGCACTATCACAGTCTCTTCCTGGTTCTCTGGTGTCATCATTGGATGCTCCTCAGTAAGCATCCCAGGCTGCTCCTCAGCTATGGTCTCTGTCTGTTCAAAGATCAGGTTCTCAGCTCTTTACTTCTCTTCATCTGGCTTGCAACAGCAATAAATAACATAGACAGGAGGAAAGAAATTTGCCTGTACTGATGCAAGTTCGTTTTTGATTCAAGTAAATGACCTAGCTGCAATCAGTGTATTCAGACAGGGTTCATAAACAAAACTTTGAGATCATCACAGCCTAGGGGTACTGATGTTTTGGCAACCCTCCAATTTTACAAAGTGGCAACAACGAGCATGACTATAAACATTATTATGTGATTCTATCATGGCTAATTAAACATATTAAGCACAATTACAGTGTACAGGTACAATTAGCCTCTGACAGGCTATTTTAGCTAGCTTCCAAAGTAAAAGTTACAAACGTGTCTTCAACAATTCGCCTCACAATCCTACTGTCACTAAGTTCTAAAACTACCATCAGTGACTTTATAACGTAACACTTTGGAGGTATTTTTGGTTTTAGATTAAAAAACATTTTGACAGATGCAGGTTTCCACTCACCGGAGTGTGTAAGTGTCGCATAAGATGACGTCAGCTTATTCTTCTTCTTGGGTTTTTGTGGGATCCGTCCTTTTTTTTTATTATTTCAATCAAAAATATTAAAACGTTTGCAGAACAGTTTGGCATGCAATCACAAAAGAAAATACATCTTAATTTTTCTTACATTTATTTGGTGTAAATGATTGATATCATACTCAAATATAGTTGGTAAATTTTAAAAAAGGCTTTTAAATCAAGCTAACAACAATCACAACAAAAACCCTCCGGTTTTATATTTTACTGAGTTATTTTTAAATACTGAATTAAAGTGTTATGACCGATACGTCTGACATGTATTTGTTGTAAATATTCTTAATGTCCTATTCAAACTAGCACATAAATTGTAAATAAAGGTTTTTAAAAAAAAAGCTAAAGAAAAAAAAAAGGTTCTATCAGCGACAAGCAGCTGTGATTACCGATAAGAATGGTTGATAAGAACCTACTGAGCCTGCTATCAGGCAGAGGAGGGACCAACTGAGGCCATTCAATGGGGCTGATAACCATAGTGAGAGAGAAGTGCTGTCAAGCTGAGTCAGAATTTTTTTTTCCAGTGGCCCTAGTCCTCTTCCGTACATTTCACCTTCGCTGTCATAGCCATTAAATTAATTGAATAAAGATAAACGGACACCTCAGCTGGGTACAGACGTCGATTGCCTTTTAATTAATCGTTTTAGGCACCAGCTTATCTAATTTGCTATCTCTATTACTATCATTTTTTATGTATTAAGCAGTTGTCAGCGTCGCTTGCTAACTGCGTTATTTTTGAGGTTACTTCACATTATTTTATTGAAACGTAAGGGCAAAATGGCTGACGAAACTATTACTACTGTTAGTCTCGCAAAATGGCGTAGAACAAAGACCTAGGCCCCTGGAGGCTTTGTTGATTTTTTGTGTGGACTTTGTACGTACTTTCACAGTAATGAATCCACATTTTCTTTGGCTAGTTTCACCAAACATTGTTTTAACACCTAATACTAGAGGTGTGCCGATCATAATCGGCCGTTTTCCGTGAAAAAGTGTATGATCGGTGATCGCCGATCACGGTCTCTTGTTGCCGATCACACAAACCGATCACCTGCATCTCATTTCGCAGCCTGCCTGTACAGCTGGTCTCCTCTTTCCAGCAACAAATCCTATAACGCACTGAGTGAATGGGGAAGTTTGCGTGTTGCGGCGGAAAATTGAAGCACGTCAAAATGCATCAACACGACGAATCTAATGTGGCATAAAAACAATGCCATACCTGACGGAGTCACCCGCTTCGGATGTTATCATTCCATAGAATGGCCATAATCAGTGGTTACGGTAATCCAAATTCACCTGTCCCGCTGTTCCTGTCCATGGCTGCCACAGCAACAAGTCTAACACGGAAACAGAGACTGCCAATGCTGTTGTTGAATAAATTTAATAAACTGTTTATTGTAACTTCTTGTCAAAGTATTATATTTTCATAGTTTGGCATGTCATTATTCTTCTTGTTTTTCCTCTTGTAGCAATAAACGGGGCTTCTCCAGCAGACATGAAATAATTATATCCTGCAATATAATTTTTAAAGTTTTTAAAGTGCTACAGTCAAATACTTTATCTTACTGGTGTGATGTTGCAGAAATATTTAGGGATATGCATAAAAAATATATTTCGTCGTTGATGTTCACAAATATAAAGTCACGAGGCGCCATCTGGTGGACAATGCGCAGTGCATGCAAAATTGTTGTACTGGACAGCTAAAGTTTTTTGTCTCAATTCAAATTCAGAGTAGACGAACTTTTACTTTCATATAAATACATAAACAAACCTTTATGTAACTTTTCAATTAAAATAACTATGTTTATTAATACAAAATACTGGGATGTTAACAGTAACATGTATAAAATGTAAACTAAGTATGTTCAAATTTGAATAAACAATAGATCATACATGGAATAAATCTAAGAGTCTGATGTTTCTCTGAAAACTACTTCATTAAATGTACAATCAATTTACTGAAGTAAGAGTAGCAATAATACTTAAAAGAAAAAAATACAGTGCAGTAAAAATAGTCTTTTTTGTGCCTCTTTTCCCAAAAGGTTATTCAAGTAAATGTAACGATTACTACTTATTTTTGAACATATATAACTACCTTCTTTTAACAGGCAGAAGTTTTAATGGTTAACAAACAGTTAAACTGTTATTCAAATCACTACAAAACCTCTGGAAAGCAGAGGTATTAAGAAGCACACTATTAAGAAGCAAACCACTGGCAGCGACAGAAAATATCTGTGTCTTGATCCATTGCTGCAGACAACATCGGCTGTTAAGCTTCCGTCTTGGACCTTGATTTGGTTTTCAGAGCATCTGTTTGAGAAAAAAAAAAAACATTTTAGTCTTCTATTACCAAATTTACACATACTTGTTCTGCCTTTAATGAACTGGCACTTTTAGAGTAAACGTCCATGTTTTCCATTGTTTGATTTCAATCAGTGTTGCTTGATTCTGGGATCACTGCCTTGCATATTTTAGATGTCTCTGTTCCAGAACACCCGATTCAAATTAATGCATGATTTCCTCTGCATGCAATGCGCTACACCTGAAAGTCAGGTGTGTGGCAGAAGGGAAACGCCTAAAACATGCAGGGCAAACAAAGCTCCGGTTCTAACTGGCAACCCACTGATAACGGGACAAACTCCGACTTCCTGAGCCACCGGTGCCCACGTTATTCCCAATATTCTTACATAAAATTTTAATTGAAATAAAGTTTTAAACCCCATTTTAAGTCGGGATGTTTCAGTTCATTTTGAGGAAGATTGGGGCATGTGGAATGAAATGAAGATCTGAAAGGTCCTGTTATCTTACTTTGTCCACAGAGTGCAGGTCACTCCATCTGGGGAAAAGGAGCCTGGCTGACAAGCTTCACACACTGTATCATGTCTGCTGGTTCCTGTTAAAACACAAACAGTTTAACACAGAAACACACCAACATTCACAAATTGTTTTAAATCCACGAATGAATTCAGACTCACCAGGCTGCTTTATTCTCTCTCCAGGCTTACAGACTGAATGCTTCTCTGCTGTGCTGCATCCTGTACCATCGATTAAACTTTTGCAGAAAAACCCACTTAGAACATCACAAACCGTATCCGATGTTGATGTACACTTCTGCTTCGCGAAGAGACCAAGCTCTAGAAAATAAAAGCACTTGTTAACACCATTTAAATTGTTATCAAATGTCCCGTCTTTTCAGTTTCCCTGATTGCACCTCGGCCACAGGTGGAGCAGGAGAGACACCTCTTCAGTCCGTTTTGTTGGTTCATGTAGGTTCCCGTCTGACAGGGGACGCAGTGTGTTCCTGACTCAGCCGTGCAGTCCCTGCCAACCACGGTTCCTGTAACAGTACAGCAGGATAATTATTTCATTAGAAATAGATCTTCATCAGCTCAGGTACAACAAGGCTTCTTTATAGCTAAGATTCCAAATAAAGTTAAAAAGAGACTGTTTGAAATGGGGTCATACGGAGAACCTGTCCTAGCTAGTCAACACATTTCCTGCAGCAGACAACAGATTAACATCTCTTGGGAAGTCAGCTATTTTTGTCTGAGAAAACATTGTGGATGATTTTATTGTTTATAAGGGTCAAAGAGGAGAAAGAACATTCTTTTCGAAGACCTTGTAGTGCTGCTGCTTTGTTTATTGTGTCTCTTTTCATGGCATGCTGATCAGTTCTGGTGCTTCAAATTTCTTTAAATAGTTTTTTTTTTTTCTTTCCACTGTGTGGATCCTAAGCAGAGGGGGTAGAAATTAATTACTTTTCCTAAGTTAATTGAGTAGCATTTTGGAAAATATTTTCTTCTAAGTAGTTTTACTGCACTACATTTTTTTTTTACTTTCACTTGAGTAATACTCTACCTGCTATGTGTAATTTCACTGAATGAAGAACAAACATGTTTTCTCCAAAACCTCAACAGATACAGACACACAGCTGCAGTTTGTCAAAATGAGAATAATTATTTTACTACAAGCTTTGTTGTTCCGATCTTCATATCTGTCTGAATCTGATGAGACTTTTGAAGGTGAAGATACAGTAACTTATATATTGTTGGTGGTTATATTGATAAAATAATCATTTGGAAAAGGTTTATTTTCTGGTATGATTTCTTGTTTTGTAATATATATTTCAATGTATTTTGTAGTGTATATGTATATATTTTAGTCTTTAAAATACTAACTTTTCCATATAATGTTACGTTGTTTGTCCGCCTGACATAATTTAAAAATATTAAATTCTTTTAATATTTTAAAATAATTTATCCCCAAATTATTAAATTTAAACATCTACTTACATCCCCAACTCAACTTTATGCCAAATATTTTTTTTTAACTCTTGTCATTCCATGGATAATTATTATTTATGTACAAATATATAAGTAGTGCTACTCTTAAATTCAGTTTTGGGTGGGCTACACCTCTGATCTTATGATATAAAGCACGTGTCAAACTCAAGGCCCGTGGGCCAAATCTGGCCCGCCACACAAATGTGGCCCTCTAGATTCCAGACTAAACACCAAGTGTGATTAAATATTATGCTATAAATCAAATTAATGCAGTGTTTATCTGTTACTGCCAAATTATGTTAACCAGTCCCTCCAGTTTCTTGAAAATTATTATGGAAATTCACGATAATTCGTGAATTTTTGCGCTAAAACATAATTGGGACATTATTGCAGATTTTTCTCAAAAATTGTCAAAAAAAAACTTTCTTACTTGTACTAAACAGCTGCCTCAGTTTTAGTAGATGCCAGATCTATACAGTGAATAATAAAAAATTGCATTTACCATCAAAAATAAGTGCAAATATTTCCAAATTAGTACGACAAACACTTTGATTTTTATTTGCAAACATCACAAAAAAGTATCACAAAATAGTAGAGGGACTGAAAAATTGTTCAATAATATTTTATTTTAAGGATTCATTGATATTTTAACAGTTTGTTTACATCCATCCATCCATCCATTTTCTGAACACCCTTGTCCCTCAGTGGGGTCGGGAGGGTTGCTGCTGCCTCTCCAGCTAACGTTCCGGGCGAGAGGCGGGGTCACCCTGGACAGGTCGCCAGTCCGTCGCAGGGCAACATTCTGGTACAGCTGGCCCTTTAAGAGCATCCATGATCTCATGATCTTGATTTGGCCCAAAACCAAAACGAGTTCGACACCCCTGGTATAAAGCATTGCGTGTTTTAAAATGCTGACGTTATTTTTATTTCGAATGTCTCATCCTATCGCGTTAACATTGACGCTCTGTCCTAGTTTTTCTTGCTTAAGTTTGCCAAGGCAACGTTCAACATACAATGCTGAGCGTTTTGTTCAACGGAAATATGTAAACCACACAAAATGGCTCCAGTTTCGGTTTGCCTTTTGTTTGCTTTTTGTTCTCTACCTTCTTGGCACATCGGGCAACACTGTCCGTCGCTGGTTGGGTATTCTTTTTCTCGACAGGCTGATGAAACTGGTTCAAACAAGGCAACACCGACTATAAAAGAATGTCGCAGGGGAAAGAAAGATTGCATTGAGTGACTTCTTCATCGTCAGATCCGTTCAAATGTCTAATCGGACACAATCAGACTCACCTAACATGACCAAAATGGAAATCATGTTACATCATGCACCGCTGATTTATATGTTTCTGGTGAAATTTCTTGGCGTTCTCTTTGAGTTGGTTTTAGAAATCCGACATAAAACTAACCCGTCAAACCTAGGAAAAGAAAAACAGCTAGTTGCCAGATTTGTCTGGAAAACCTCCATACTGGCCACATTACTGACATGTGGCCAGTTTTCTATTTGACCCCTTTCCTTTTCTTGTTTCCATCTTCACATCTGCTTCCATCCAACAAAGTTTTATTGAAAGTCTAAGATGAAGACGTTGATCCAAATGGAACATTTATCAGATTATAAAACCATCCAAAAATAGAAATTCATGAAAATATATAGAACAGTTCACTAAATGCCACACAACCACATGAGCAGCATTATCTCTGAGTTTAGCTTGTTTGCTATCTTAATAGGTTTTTATCAGAGATGTGACAGTTTATGGTTTGAGATTTGGTTCTGAGTTAACATCTACTTACATCCCCACACCTACCCTTCTGCTTCCTGAGTGAAACACATTTCTTTTTGTTTTCTTCACTTTATTGCCAACCAAAATTAGGCAGTTTACACAAACACTTTAATCTTCAGGATGTGAGTGTGGTGGTTACACATTATTATTCATATATAATCCAAAATTTTCCATTTGCCATCACACACAGGGTGCAGCAAGACAGGTAACCCAAACCAAGAGATTGGAAAATAACAGAAAGGTCTGGGCATACAGTTGTGGTTGAGCAGTTTGATTGTACATACATGCTTGATTTTTTCCTTCTTTCTTTCTTTCTTTCTTTCTTTCTTTCTTTCTTTCTTTCTTTCTTTCTTTCTTTCTTTCTTTCTTTTTCTTTCTTTCTTTCTTTCTTTCTTTCTTTCTTTCTTTCTTTCTTTCTTTCTTTCTTTCTTTCTTTTTTGGCATTCAGTGATCCAAATTTGGTGGTTGGGCTTCATCCAGCTGCCATTGGAATGTACATGAACAAAGGACATGTATCAGAGTCCTTTGTTCATAAGTACAATGTGGAGAGAACACATCAAATGGCAGGATCAAATGGAATGCTAAGAATGGTCCCAAACATTTTGTATCTGAGGATAATGCCAGTACACGTGGGTCTGATCACATTTATCAGGAGAGAACATTTCTACACGCAGCAGAAACTATGCACTGCATGCTTTGACTTGACAGGCTGCTCTCCTTTAATCACATGCTGCAGCTCTAAAACCTAGTGAGAGTGTTACATGTTTGCTGTTATGCTGCTTCTCCTCAGCCGTTGTAGATGACATTCAGTACCCTGCATACACTCGACGAGATACAAAAGAGCAAACCCACAACACAAATAAGAGAACACTTTTATTTATCATTTACCAATGCAACCCGGTGGCTTGAGACAGATGTGCTACAAGTTGTGAATGCCACAGTGGCATCTGTGACCTATAACAGAACAGTCCAAGGGTGATGTTTGTTCAGAGGAGCGTGAGACAAGCTGAGACAAAGTGAACATTCCTCAAACAAGATAAGAGCACGTTGAACAAATTCTGGAAATCAGTGCAATAAATGGTTTATTGGTCGGCAAGGCAAAACAGTCGCAGCTGAAGAGTTAAGACGTGTGAGGTCACACCCTGAACAGACAAATTACAGAGAACACACGGTCCCTGCCAATCTTAGCAGATCTGGGAAGAATACGGAAGCCTGCATACTGACTGCAATCATCTCTGTTGGATCAACCAGTAAACATCTTCACCTGTTACATAAGACAAGTCATGGAAAGAGGAAGAGTTGACAGGATTTTGTGACCTTAAAGTCGCATTTATAGAATGTAATTTTTATAAAGAATATGTTTTTTTTTTTTTTACTTATTAACAGCTGATATGTTATGAGACAGCCTGTGAAAAGATTGATGCCCACTACCTCCTCCCTGAGCTACTATTGCTGTCTGGAAAAATGCAGCACGTCTGACCAAAAACAACCAATCACAGCCAGGAGGAGGGTCTTAGTGCTGTCAGTCAATCTCCTGTATGCAATGCTAAATGTGCTAATGGTGGAGAAACAACTTACCGTCAGGGCAGCCATAAAATTTCTTTACTCTTAAAAAAACAACAAAAAAAAAGTTATACAAGCAAATTTATATGGAGTTTTGTCATTTTACAGAAAAGGGCAACATATTTATTTTTCAGTCCAGATACATCTGTATTTATTTCTAAGATTGACTAAGTACAAAGATACTTATCTGTCTGTTTCTAAGCCTTTCTGATTGTGAATATCCTGAAAAGAAATTTAGCTTTGAAATATATTTATGTTTTCCTTCTCGGTCTCTGTGATAACCGTGTTATCATCAGGATATGGGCCCTATCTGTTATATGGGTCAAAAGCATAAACACACAGAATGATGACTTCAACCAAAGCGTTTCCCTGCAACACAATGTAGACAGCAAGGGGTAATTTCATCCCTCCTTACTTTTAAAAGTCAAAAATTGATATTTAAAGTTATTTCAAATGAATAACCTTTTATCAAAAATGTGAATTTACAATCTATATTAGAGTAGGAGAATTTAAATAAATACATCCTTACTGTTATTCATAGCATCAGTAGTAAAGAAAAAAATAAATGCTCTCCGTTGTGAATTAGAAAACAAACAAGGTCTTGTCCTGGTTAGAAATGAAAAAAAATAAAAATAAAAATAGAGCCCAAATAGCAGCTTTGTCGTTTTTCCATCCTAAGTGTTCCTCAGAGTCTATCAGGACAGTGAGGTCTGCAACTCTGCATTGCTGATTCCTGTGATTGCTTCCCGTTCCTTAATGGCCAGACATATAAACTCTGTAATCTGTTGTCAAAGACCCATGCAGTAAACAAACATATGTCGCATCAGCGCTGACATCTGACTAAGAAAAGGATGTAGAAAGACGGTTGAAAACGCAGAACGCTCCGAAGGGGGAGATGCTTAAATGGCAACCCAGCAGTGACGTTGTAAAGAAAAAAAAAAGAAAAGAAAAGAAAGCAAACAGGGTGCGGCAGAAAGGATATTTAATCATGAGAATTATGAGTTTCCTTGGAACATAGTGCTATTTTATAGCTCAATCAAGTGACTATGTTACCTTCAATTCAGTGCTTCATTTGTGAATAAAACTGGAACGCAAATAGCGGTATGACACAAAGGGTTAACTGAGACCAACACGGATATTGGAAAGTAAACGCAACACACGTAGGCGCTCAAGTGTGAAAATACCAATTCATACTAATATGTTACTTTGAAAGGCTTTATGTGTCATTTATAGGTGTGTTAAGTGCGTCGAAGGCGTCTTACCTATCTATTTCCGCACTGTGACGAGCTCTTTAGAAGTTGTTGGAGCTATTTTTTCTTTTTTTCTTTATCCATTTGAATTTTGTTACTTTATTTTTAAATTTCTTTTCTTTGTATTATTTACAGAGTTTATTTGTTAGTCCATGGGCCAGAGGCCAAAATTTGACATTTTTGTCCATCAGAGTGGCAAAGTCTATCAATATTTTTTGAAAAGATACATGTCTCTAGTTAACATTTTGGTATGATAGCCCTTCCAAAATGGTAGCTGAGTCATAGTTATTAGCTCATGAAGTAAACAACCCCGGTGGAAAAATTCTGTATTTTGAGACTGGTGCATCTCTGGTTTAGGGTCATGGTATGGGCATTTGTCAAAGGTCTATAATGCAATATTTGGTATCATCTTATAGGAGACACTCTTGGCTTTCATTTGAATCAGGTTTTGGGTCTCTCTAACCAACACAGAGGTCATCAGAGGTTGTTAAACCAAAAATAATACACATTTTTCCACACCTTTTGACCAAACTAGATACATTTCTTTCATCCCAGTGGTATCCAGGGACATCAGGGACACAAGAGTTAATGACTAAAATACTCAACAGACTCTAAGGAGTCATAAAATGTATGATATGCCTACACTGTCTCGCTATGGGAGGCGATTATGAGCTGTAATTTGAAGTTACAGACTTGGGCTATAACCTTAACTGGTGTGTATGTTGGGGGTTTGGTGGGGGTTTGTTTAGCATGTCACTTTTGTCTAGTTTGTTAGTTATAAAAAAGTTAATCAGTAATAGTAGAAATGTACACTTACATAGACTTTAGGATGCTGTATTAACCTATTTATCAGATTTTGTGAGTTTTTCCATCATGGGCTACACAATAGTAGCCCATGATGGCCACATAGAGACATAGCAGAATGAGGGAGGATACCACCCTCATTAAATGACAAATTCTGAGGTAAAAATATAAAAAAAGATTATTTTCAGATGCTTAACCTACTATTGACAGCATAATTCAGATTATTGTATTGCATTTCTGCCAACAGATAAGCTGAGCTATAATCCACATCCAGCATTCTTACGTAGGTATAAAGTAATATCAGTATGCTTATTATAATAAGTCTTGCCATCACCTTTTAGTTTTTGAACAACTTTCATTCCACCAATGATCCATGCAGACTATTATTCAACATCAACTGATTCTTCCGACTCTCTTGCAAGAGGACACTTGTTAGAGTTATTATGAACATGAGAAAAGGCCATTGGTCTAGTGGATGACCAAAGACTTCTTAAATCTGAAGGTCTCTTCTTTGTTAAACTATTATGATACACTCAAAAATATTTCAATCTGTCTTCTTTCCTTTTATTAGATAGCTAAAACAGTGGCGTAAAAGAGTTACCCCACTATTTTTGAAGCTTAGGAATGTTTTTATTGTGTCATGGAATGTGGTTGTTAGTAATTATTTTTCTAAATGACCTGTTCTGAACTTTTTATAAGCTTCCTATCCAGCATGATGAGCTTACAGCAAATCACTGACTGTTTAGTTATACAATGAATCCGGTGGAAAGACCGACTATGTCTGACTGAGGCTGACTTAGAGGGTTTACCCAGCTTTTCTCCATAAGTTCTACAAAGGAATATCTGTCCATCTCTAGCCTAGACTTCTGTAGGCTATAATGTCTCACACTTTCTGTGGGCTCATTGTCTGTCATGTTCCTAAAGGTGTCTGCTGGTGACGGACTGCTGCTTTCCCATCATCATGTGAATGACTGAATGTTGTGGGAAGCATGACTCTGGACTTGATAAAGTGCTTTACAAGTACAAGTGCCAGTAGCTGTCCTTGTATAGCACCCCATTATACAAGTACAGGTCATAATGTTAGGTGGAAAAAATGTAGCAATAGTTTCCCTTAGAACTGAGTCTCTCAGGGTCTACTGCCCTGCATGTTTTACGCGTTTCCCTTCTGCCACACACCTGACTTTCAGGTGTAGCGCATTGCATGCAGAGGAAATCATGCATTAATTTGAATCGGGTGTTCTGGAACAGAGACATCTAAAATATGCAAGGCAGTGATCCCAGAATCAAGCAACACTGATTGAAATCAAACAATGCAAAACATGGACGTTTACTCTAAAAGTGCCAGTTCATTAAAGGCAGAACAAGTATGTGTAAATTTGGTAATAGAAGACTAAAATGTTTTTCTTTTTTTTCTCAAACAGATGCTCTGAAAACCAAATCATGGTCCAAGTCGGAAGCTTAACAGCCGATGTTGTCTGCAGCAATGGATCAAAACACAGATATTTTCTGTCGCTGCCAGTGGTTTGCTTCTTAATAGTGTGCTTCTTAATACCTCTGCTTTCCAGAGGTTTTGTAGTGATTTGAATAACAGTTTAACTGTTTGTTAACCATTAAAACTTCTGCCTGTTAAAAGAAGGTAGTTATATATGTTCAAAAATAAGTAGTAATCGTTACATTTACTTGAATAACCTTTTGGGAAAAGAGGCACAAAAAAGACTATTTTTACTGCACTGTATTTTTTTCTTTTAAGTATTATTGCTACTCTTACTTCAGTAAATTGATTGTACATTTAATGAAGTAGTTTTCAGAGAAACATCAGACTCTTAGATTTATTCCATGTATGATCTATTGTTTATTCAAATTTGAACATACTTAGTTTACATTTTATACATGGTTACTGTTAACATCTCTGTATTTTGTATTAATAAACATGGTTATTTTAATTGAAAAGTTACATAAAGGTTTGTTTATGTATTTATATGAAAGTAAAAGTTCGTCTACTCTGAATTTGAATTGAGACAAAAAAAACTTTAGCTGTCCAGTACAACAATTTTGCATGCACTGCGCATTGTCCACCAGATGGCGCCTCGTGACTTTATATTTGTGAACATCAACGATGAAATATATTTTTTATGCATATCCCTAAATATTTCTGCAACATCACACCAGTAAGATAAAGTATTTGACTGTAGCACTTTAAAAACTTTAAAAATTATATTGCAGGATATAATTATTTCATGTCTGCTGGAGAAACCCCGTTTATTGCTACAAGAGGAATAAAATGGAGAAAAATTACATGTCAAACCATAAAAATATAATACTTTGACAAGACATTACAATAAACAGTTTATTAAATTTATTCAACAACAGCATTGGCAGTCTCTGTTTCCGTGTTAGACTTGTTGCTGTGGCAGCCATGGACAGGAACAGCGGGACAGGTGAATTTGGATTACCGTAACCATAGTGAGAGGGAAGAAGTGCTGTCAAGCTGAGTCAGACGGTGTTTAAACTGCAAAGAAGGTTTGCTTTCAAAATAAAAGTGTTATCATATCACTGCCATAAATATAAACAGCATTAGTCCTATTTTGAAAATCTAATACGGAAATAACAACGCTAATTAAGTTCCTTTGACTAAAAACTCCGTCATCGAAGCCTTAATGATTCTGAAACAACAGAAAACTTTAAAGTAGCTTTACTAGTTTAATTCAGTCTAAGCATCACCTCCAGCCTCGGTATGTAAAACCTTCTATTCTGAAGTGAGAAGAAGTTCGGGACAGCAAAGTTTGGACGTGTCCTGTTAACGTTGGTCTGCTTGGAAGTTAAACCAAACTCTTAACGATGCATATGCTGGCGTCAAACGGATCCATCATGGACCTGAACTCCGAGTGGGTGAAAGTTAAAGCTCACTACCGTGGGTGAGTGATTCTCCGTGGGATGCACCCGGAAAGCTGTCATTATTTATCCGAGCCGAGGTGGCGGGGGGAAGCATCGAGATTGTGTTATGGGTCAAACTGTACCCTCGTCATCTTTGGCTCGCGCTCAGAGCTTCCGCCGCACACCTTACCGGCGGGACTCTCTCAGCTGTACGGAGGAAAACTAGTTCCAGCTTGGAGAATGGTTGCACAAATGTCTGAAACTCGCAATTCTTTGTTTAGCACGTATGTCAGAAGGTAATTGTGTCGTATTTGTTTTCTTGAGGTGCGCTCACGGCCCATTATGCCAAGGCTTTTTGATCTAAACCATAAAGGTCAGATGAAGTTGAGTGTGACGCAATTTTGTAATCAGAAAAAGTTCAACACAAGGCAAAGAAATATTCTCCTGCATCGGTGTTCATTTCGGCTGATGGAAGAGGGTCTTCTCATACAGCTGAGGCCAAAATGATTCCTACCCCCAACACAGCTATAGATTCAAAATTATTTTTAATTCAGTCAAGAAGATTGCTTTTGATAGAAAATGACCCATGGAAACTGCCTGAAGATGAGACAATTTACAGGAGATGTCATTGTTTATTTACATAAAAAAGGCATGTCAAAATCTATTCATACCCCTTCTCAATAACCAAAAGAAAACTCTTTTACTAACTTGAGATCAATGCAACATAATTGCTGACGGTTTGCATGGTTCCACATCTTCTTTTTTCATTGCCGTTCATCTTTAGGGAGAGTTTGCACCTAAAGCCTCCTGGGCATAACCCTAATCTTTAGCTTCCTCAAATTCAAAAATACTTTATTGATCTCTAAAAGAAATTACTTCTTTTTTTTTTTTTTACTACAGATTTTGTATCAGATTTAAGTCAGTACTCTGGCTGGGCCATGCCAAAACATTATTATTTAATATAGTTATTCCAGGCAACATTCAACAAATAATCTTTTGATGAATGACTTGTAATAGTTCTCTTCTTCTGTCTATTACTGTATGCATTTTTTTCTCCTCTAGAAACAGTGACAGGTGGTAGTCTACCTTTAAATTAAAAATACATTCATCTTCTATTCTTTTTCCTGAAGGTAATTCCTGAAAACTGAGCTCTAAATCATTTCCAGGCATGGATGGATGTCACTCGGTGTTAAAGCGCTTTAGTATCACTTCAGTACAGTAGATTTTGGGAATACATGTTGCCTGAAAACACAAACTGACAACCTGGTTTATTTCCTCTTGAATTCTCCTCATCTTCTGGTAAATCACAACTAGCCATCATAAACTCAACTTCCCCTGAACAGGAAAAAAGGAATGATATTGTGGATAGGCTCATGTCACCATATTCAATCCTTCAACCACAATAAACACTAGTAGATAAAAAGTTGTTGGCGCTCTGAATATACCACTGAACAGGTTCTGAGCTGATAGATATGGGCTGTAAAAGCATCTCATAATGTGGAGATGCTTCATTTGTGCATGTTACACATCTACCTGCTGTATTCACATGTAAATGAAAGCACTCTTTAGCTCTGCAAATGTTATTAAAGGGCGTTAAACCGATCAGTCTCGGAGGGGCTCTGTTCTCTTGGATTCTGAACCTGATCTACCAGAATGGAGAGCTGCTTATTGTTGTTCAGGATGCAGAAGTCTTAATGAAGAAAACACACAAGAGGTCCCACCAGCATGTGTCCCTGTGGACCAGTGTGTGCGTGTGTGTGTACTGTTTGACACTTGACAACGTGGTTTCTTTAAACCACATGTTGTAAAAGAAACTCGGTATTTTTTCTGTTCTTAGAAGTCAGTCAATTTTCTTCCTGTGGTCCCTCTGCTTCAAGGTTCGAACTCCAACAACTCATCCTCATCACATCCCCGTCACACCTACACATCTGCCTGCAGTGCGGTTAGTTAGAAAGCTAAATGCCGAAACATTGACCTCTCATTAGATGTCTGAGACAAATGGTAGAAATGAAAATGCGCAAAAGTTTCAGATCATTAAGAAGTGAGCACAAGCTTTTGCAAAGCTTGGGTTTTGTTGTTGAACATGTATTTTGGTGTTGAGCATTTTTAAAAAGGAAGATTGCCTTTTATATTAAAACAAGATTGTTAGTTTTGCACATAACGTTTGAGTTCTAAAAAAAAAAATCTCTTTCTAACATCTTGTAGAACTAATGCTCTGTTGAACTACAGCAGTCTGCTTCATCTGCACATTTAATTAGTTTTATTTACACTGAACTGATTTCAGACTGTAGTTTGTTGGCCAAAGTTGGTATACATTTTTATTTATCTGTTTCATATTTTCTTTGATGCACTAAACATATTGTGTGATTTTTGTTAGTATGTGAATATATTTTTTTACTCTAGTGACTGTTTATACAGGAAAGAAAGCAAAAAAAGAACCCCTCTGTTTCGAAGGTACATATTTGGCCAAATCGAAGTAAAGAAGAAACAGAAAATATGGAATATCATCTGTGATATTGAGATATTTAAAAATACATATTGTGTTATAATTCTTTGCCAATATCGACCACCGTTGGTCTAAATGTGCCTGCATAATTCAATTCAACTCAATTAGGTTTATTTGATAGGGACTAATGCACATTAACATTGACAAACTGAATAACACAGCCTTATCATGCTTGTATCATGGTGCTTGTGTGCTAATTTGCAGCATTTGTCCCTAGATGGGCTTTTCTGAACAATATATCTGAAAGTTATTAGGAAGTCAAATGGTATTTGCATTTTAAAATGATAAAGCATGGTGTTGACAACATATGCAAAATCATAAATATAAAGCAAGAAAATGTAAAAAAAGAAACATTTAAATATGGTTACATTTCTGTTTTTGATGTAGCCAGAGTTTAGTTTGTTTATTGAACATACTGAAACTGTATTTCCTTTATATTGGGAGATTGGCTGATAGATGTGAAACCAATCTTATCCTCCAATTTTTATCTACGTGCTAAAGGTCTGAAAATCAGCCACTTTTTAAAAGAGATCAGTGATTGGCCAGAAAATTGCAATGTGTGCACCTTTAATTCCAGTATCATTAAACTATTGATGTAAACATCATTAATCACACTGATGAGGCTGGCTGAGTCTTTAGACCTAAATCAAGTTTTCCAGAATAAATGACTGTTTTGTGATTCTGATTATTGTAGTGCCGTTTACTGTGACATTTATTTTAAAGGGACAGTATTATGTGTTTTCCAACTACATGGAAGCACATTCAAGTAACTGTTGCCCTTAATTGTCAGTTGCACAGGAGCGCCACAGGGCACTGTACTCTCACCGTTCCCTTTCACTCTCTGCACTTCAGACTTCCAGCACAAGTCCGACTTCTGTCATTTACAGAAATACTCAGATGACACTTCAGTTGTTGTCTATTTCTGAGATGGACAAGAGGCTCATGGACTGATTAATGTCATGGTCTGGGAACAATCCTCAATTTGAACGACATACAAAAAAAAAGATTGGGGCAAAGAGTCTAAGGACTTGTTTGCTTTTTGTCTTTTTACATACGAATTTCGATGAATCAATCATTCAAATATTAATATAAAATCAGATGAGATACTTTATTCATCCCCCAAGGGGACAGGGGATCATTTGGTTTGTCCCAGCATAGTACATGTGCATGCCTAAGTTTTTATCAGGTTACATGTTTCCAAATATTGCATGTTCTTCAAAGAACTGCATGGTACTGTTCGATATGTAGCTTATGTTTTATTAATGTTTACTTTTTCAGTTTCTTCTCTAAAATTGAGTTTAACAGCAACACTCCTTTTATGTACCTTGTAAATAGTGCAAAAGGAAAAAAATGAACAAATAAAAGCAACACCGTGGTATAGTTGCTGTTGTGCTGCCATTGTATGATTTTTCAACTGACTCAGTAAAGCCTCTTGAATGCTCCACCCAGAGTTGGGGTCTTACATCTTTATTTTGTGGGTCAGAAGCTGGAAGGTTTGTGAATCACTGTTATGGAGGACGTCTGGGTAAAGAGGACTTCAAGGCCTCCTCAGAATGTACTTTCTTTAAATGCTGTCGTGTTTGTGATTTAGACGTAATCTCCACCTGACGGTGCAGCCTGGAATGTTTGTGTTACTCGAAGGACATGTTCCCAGAAACGTCCAGCAGTTTCTGCTTTTAAAGTAGCACCTAATGCATACTTATAGTAAATTCAGTCACAACTCAGCTGATCAGACCTGTGTGTGTGTGTCGTCGTATAAACTACTGGAGGACCACTTTCACAATATTTACCAACAAAGAGAAGTGATTTGTGGAAAGTGACCTTTTCCTCACTTCTTTTGCAGTTCTACTGCACTCTACTAGTGAGGTTTAGAGGTATAATGTGAATAAAGTTTTGATTTGATAGGGTTAGGGATAGACTAGTAATTTGTGAGGGTTATAGGAAATGCCTGGATTAGGCATAAATACAGTTACTAAAATAAATAGAGGTCAATATAAAGTCCACAGTTTGTATAGAAGTACAAGTCTGTGTGTGTGTGTGTGCGCGTGTGTGTGTGTGTGTGTAGGGGCTGTAGGTGATGTCGCCCAATAATGCTGAAGTTAATTCCATCGGTTTCCTATAATCCTCCTTTTTGATTCATGCTGAACACACTGACCCCTTCCTTTGTGACTCATGTCCAGATGAATCTCATCTTGGCCAAACAGAGTATTAGCCACATTGTTCCACTTCCTGGATTATTCTCTCTGCGTAAAGTTTTCCTAGAATTTACCGTTTTCTGCAGAGAATATTGCTGTAAAAACTAGAAGAGCACATATTTAGTGAAAAGCAGTATTTGTCGCACATTAGGCTAACATTGACTTTGGGAGCTTGTGAGTAGAAAACATGGATGAAGTTATGAGTCTGACGAGATGCTTACTGTCTGCTTCAGCTGTTAGCACAGAAGTAGCGAGAGAAGCAGAATGAGTCACAGGGCTGTTTTTAGTTAACATAGTGGGACTGTTCTTATTTATTACTAAACACCTTTAGCTAAATACT